GTCTCGTCTAGATGTGGATAAATCGATCCCCGAACATGCTCCCCATTGACTCTGGAACTCCAGCTCGCAAGAGGTGGAAGCGGAGTCAACGGGGGAGTGGCAGCGGTCGACTGGCCGCCATACTCACAGCCAGGTAAGTTGAACTAAGATATGCCGACTTCAGCTACGCTATTCGCGTAGCTGAAGTCGGCGTATCTTAGGTCGACCCCCCTCTCCCCCCAGTGTAGACCAGGGCTCAGTATACAAATGGTTCCAGCATCTCGGTAAGGATCAGTCTGGGACAAGTCCACGCAGGTGGGAGGTAGTATGGCAAGAAAAGGTAAGGCTGTGATAAAGTAGCACTTCTCTCCTATGCACATGGGTCACAGGAGGCTTAGCAGAAGGGCCACACACTACCTCTCAGCAAGAAAGTGAAGAGGTATGGTAGGGAATACACAGTGAATAAACCAGGGGGAAATAGAAGCTTTATCTGCCTCACTCTCCAAATAATGGCTACGAAAGTTTTGTGCTAACAATGTTAATTTGGGAGGGGGGAGAGAGAGAGATTTTCTTACATTCCCTATGTCCATGCGTCAGGGAGCCATTTCCCTTTAAGAATGTATTGAAAATTTAGCTTTGCATCTTCAGACTAGTTCCTAGTGGATGGTTGCCCACTTCAAAAAAGCAAGTGCCAACTACTGGCGCCCATGGTGGCAGTCTGAGCAGAGCGGCTGAGGGCTGAAGGGGCAATAGGGACTGGACTACTCACTCACCCCTACAAGTGGTCCCTAAGGCACACTGGCAGGGCAGTATGGGAAAGTATTTGCTGCCCATGTTATACCCATTCTTCTGGGGTTTCAGTCTCCAGCGCTGACAATGAAAAACGTAGCCCTCTGAAAAGCTAAAATTCTCCTACACTTTCTCTGCAGGCCACACCCTCTGAAAGGCGAGCCATATAAAATTACTATTATTTTAATTTACTCTCCCATTTTCTTGATTCATTATTATCCAGGCTGTCCAGCGTTGCATCCACACAGCCTGTATCATGGACACTGAGCTCCCTGATAAGCCTGCTGTAAGGAGCGTAAGAAACTGAATCTGGGGGGGAAAAGAATATATGTAATTTAAAGTTGATTTGTACTATTTTCTTAAAAATGGTCATATATAAACTATCTGTAAATTTTCAAAATCCTGAGCAGACATCCTCTTAGAAAGTGTGTGGGCCTAGTTTTAGCCAGGAATGAAACTTTTACAGCCCTGGGAAAATGAGAGTGTATAATTGAAATGCTGAGACACCCCTGACTCTAGCAGTGCTGGTGAGCACCGCTGAAATGAAATGCCTTTTCTCCCTATCCGTATATCTGCTCTTCCCCGCTTGGCTTATTTTCTCTTTGTTGACGTTGCAGTAAATCATCTGTCCCCTTGCAGGACAGCACCAGTGTTTGCTGGACAGACAATCCTATATTTCTCATTTACCTCTGTGGCAGGGTGTAATAAAGACAGATGAATTCTAGACAATGCTGCATTTATCAGCCACAGCTGGGAAATTGCTCAACTGGCTGAATGACCTCTTAATCTCTGAGTAGCATATAAGGCTTTCTTCTTCTGTACTTTTGTTGAGCTGACCAATAATAAAATTGTACATTTAAAAAAAAAAGTGTTCAAATCCTCTTGGAGAAATAGAGATATGCCTGTCCCATTTTTCAAACAGCTGTTCTGAATTTTGGGGCAGAGGCTTGAGGGTCTGGTTAGGCTCTTACTTCTTTCAACTGTAATACTTAACTGTAAAAACAGATGTGCAATTAAACTGCTTCCTGGGTAAACCAGTCATTTCATGCGTTCACCACAGTCCCACTCCAGTCTTGAAATCTTTGTTTGCTCTTTATTAAATCAAAGTTTTAGTATGCTGGTTAGTAGGTAGGTACAGAATGTTTCTGTGTGGGATCTTCTACCATCTGAACTAATTTATCCGATGAACAGGGTGAAACATGCTGTACTTTGGATCTTTAACTACTGCTTTCAAGGCAGCTGTACTTAATGAAGAAAGAGCACTTGCCCTTCCGATCCTTCCTCACATACTCATCTGCTGTACAACTATTTCAAAGCTGTTTTGTTCAAAAGCAATCGAAGCCCTCAAATTAAAGGGACCTCCTGTGATCACTAGGTATCTGTGGGTTTTCTGTGCTGGGGAGAGTGTGGGCTGGTGGATTGTGAGTGTGTGTATCTCTGTTGCTAACAATTGTTTCTTGCACTCAACAGAATCTCAGAATTTGGGGCACTTACATACTCGCAGTTGCAACCATGTGAAATACTAGGGGGTAGGGATTGAGATTAAGTCTTAACTGAGGGTGTTTTGGATGGCCTGTGATTTTTTTGAGTTGGAGAAATGTCTGAAGCTTGTTCTGTGTTTAGGCATATTAATGACGCTAGTCCAGTGCGGCCACGTGTTATTTGTAGGATAACAGGCTGTACCAGCTCATTGTTTCTTTTCCCAGGTATTGGTAATCTTGCAACCTCTATTGCTCCTCTCAGTCCTCACAGCTTCTCTTCTATGGGTAAGCAGCAAATCTGTCAGTCCTTACAAGTCACTGGGAATTTTGCTGAATAAAGACCACAAGATTTGGTCCCAGGAGTAGAAATTGGTTGGCTATCTCTTGAAAGTCTGGCTGACTGGGTTTAAGCTGATGTGTGAAAGGTTTAGGGTGCGTTCATTGTAGAACCCCATCTTTCCCAGCAGAGCACTTTTAGAAAATTATGCCAGACGGATTATCAACTAGCCCAATACATTATTATTATTATTGCCACATGTAATTAATGCTGCCTAGCACTTCTACATCTTCAAAAAGCTTTATAAACATTCACTTAACTGTCCTGTCTCCCCACTGGTACGTCACAGGGGTGCAGTGTGTGGGCTGCCCAGTTTCCTATTAACAGCCTTTGGCCCAGCTAGTGGCTGTTCAGGTCAGTAGTGCAGTTCTGAAATGTACCCACAGTGCCTACTGGAATGCCTGGGGGAGAACAGCCACTGCCGTATCCCTTAGAAAGGTCCATGGTACGTTCCCCTCCATTACCACACAGGCTAGTAGATGCAGATGGTCTCTGACTCTGCCTTCTTTCTACATTCCGTCCCATTTAAGGGACAGTCACCCTCAGAGACACTAGCAGGGACAGTCCCTTTGCTAAGGAGAGTGTGAGGACTGGGACTGTGTAAGGTGGAGAAAGCACCTTGGCTCTTCCTTTCACACATCTACCCAAGGGCCAGTCACAGCGCAGCCTCTACCTCTTGAAAGACAAAGATTTACTAAAGAGGACAACTTGCATGTGAATTCAGGGGAATAAAACCTGATCCCATGCAAGACCAAAATGTACCGTAATGTCAGACACAGACAGTCTCTCCCCGGCGGCCAGAGCACTGGGGGGAGGGCGGAGAGCCCGGCCGCGGCCCCGCTCTCCCTGGCCGGCCAGAGCGCTGGGAGGAGGGCAGAGAGCCCGGCCGTGGCCCCGCTCTCCCCAGCGGCCAGAGCGCCGCGGGAGGGCAGTCCCGTTCTCCCGGCCGGCCAGAGCGCCGGGCGGAGGGCGGAGAGCCCGGCTGTGGCCCCGCTCGTCCCTGGGCGGCCGGAGCGCCGGGGGGAGGGCGGCAAGCCCGGCCGCGGCCCTGCTCTCCCCGGCCGGCCGGAGCGCGCCCCCCCCTCCAGGTGCCTCCCCAAGCACATTCTTGGTAGGCTGGTGCCTGGAGCCAGCCCTGTTTGTGATGATAGGCAAATCACTTAAACCAGACTTTTTACAGCTGGTCACTAATCATGTGTTCTTCATTTTCTGGGTGCCTAACTTGAAATTTGGGATCTGATTTGCAGAAATGCTGAGCATTCATCTGCAAGTGACGTCCATGGCAGCTGTACTGTGAACCTATGAAGTGTTATATAATGCTAAATACTCTGAAAAATCAGATCCTAGGTCAGAGGCTCGCAAACTTTTTTTACTGGTGACCCCTTTCACATAGCAAGCCTCTGAGTGCGACCCCCCCTTATAAATTAAAAACACTTTAAAATATATTTAACACCATTATAAATGCTGGAGGCAAAGCGGGATTTGGGGTGGAGGTTGACAGCCCACCATGTAATAACCCTGCGACCCCCTGAGGGGTCCCAAACCCCAGTTTGAGAACCCCTGTTCTAGGTGTCTCAACCAAGGTACCCAAAATTAGTGCAAACTTTTGACCTTACCTGTCTGTGCTTCACCTTCCCATCTGTAACATGGGGATAATACCACTTCCTGACCACAGAGGGGTGTTGTAAAGATAAATTATTTAATGTTGGTGAAACACTCAGATACTGTAGTGCTAAGCACCATAGAGAAGCTCATATGAAAATTAATAATTCTGTCTTCAGTGCCAAGTTTTTATAGTGTGCAATAAAGAGAACCTACAGTCTCACATTAAATAACGAGAAAACAATATTGAAAAGCTGGTCATTTAATTGAGTGTCATCCATTCTGTGCATTGAATGAGTCAGGGGTACTGAGATCATGTAATAAAAACTGACTCCTAATGCACATGCACAAGGGAGCAAAATAACAGTTGCGCAAACAACTTTAATTCTGGCATTGCCTAACTTTTGAGTGCTTGACTTCGCAATCTTAATGGTCTTTTGACATAGCTTTTGTGTTCTATATAATATAGATACACATTAAAAGTTTTAACAGATCCCCGGCCAGCTAAGACTCTGTGGTCATTCTCATTCTGTGCACGCTTGCCATATAGAGTCTCATGATTTTAAGAAGAGAGAGAAATCCTGCAATGCTTCTTCTAGCATGTGAAGTAAAGAAAAGTTCTCTTTTAGGTGGCCTGTGACACGCACCTGAGCAAGACTGGCATTTCAGCCAGTTGCAGACAATGGTGACGAATGCGCAACCTAGAACATTACAAAGGGAAGGGCTGTGGCAGAGCAGAGGTCTATAAAGGAACACTCTTTATCTTAAAGTAAAGAGCGAGTAGGGAGGGAACTTAAAATGACATAACATACCTTCCATCCCTCCAGTTGGCTGCATCCGATTTTGTAGTGAGTGCTTCGGCAAAATTTCCATCCAGATCCTGGGGGTAGCCATCATTATTTTATTTGAGATACTCTCCCAGCACTGTACTGAAAAAGTCAATTTTAAAACAAAACTAATCAAACATCTTGCACTCCTGAACACAATGACCTGCAGCTGCCACACTCGCTTTCCATGACAGACATAAGGATTGGAGATCATACTTCTTGGACTTTGGAGTGTTCACGCGTCGTTTGGGTTCTCAGGTTCAAAGTCAACGCTGTAGGCATTGCTAATACTGACTTCAGTGGAGAGGCAGGATTGACCACTGGATAAGGCTCTAGACTGGGAACTGATCTGAGCTCTTACAGGATCTGCCAATTGACTACTGGGTGACCTCTTTGCCTTAGTTTCCATCTATGTAAAATGGGGTGGGGGGTATTGATACTTATCAACCTTTGTAAAACAGTTTGACAGCTATGGATGTGTAAAGTACTAGATAGATATTCCAGGGGAATTATGCCCACTTTTTACTCCAGGCAGAATTCCGTTCCCCTTTTGTGATCTTCCAAAGCAATCTCCTTTTATCCAGTAAACTGTGATTGAATTTGCTCATGTGTTAGGAATGCAAAGAATTGACATTTTTAAAAGGCTTCAGTCTGTTTTGAATGTTTGCCTTTGTTCTGAGTTTGCTCCCTACCCTGTCCCTCCCACAATCCCCCAAAACACACACACACACACACCATTTATATATAAATGATTACTGTCTACCAGAGACACTGGATATTCTGTTTGAGTTAATGCTGCTAAATTTTGGGACCATTTATAATTTGCTTTAATATTTTAAGTATTAGATTGTCATGCATAGAATTTTATATTCAGAGCATCCCGGAAGTTTCACTATGATAAATGAGCTCATGAAAAGGTGATATTTTAAATTACAGGGATGGTGTTAACATCCTTATTAAGGGATTGCATAGTGTGGTGCTAACCTCTTACCTCTGGATTTCAAGTGGAGAGAGCAGAAATGATTAGTGCTGTCTGTCAACTTCTCCAGGTCCACACATGAACCAGCAGACTATGAATTGCAGGGCAGATTTCCTAGATTTATCTGCAGGGTTTCACAGTCCTTACTGTAGCTCCTTGCAGGAAGATGGACTGCATTCATCATTACAGCTTGTGAATGAAATGAACTTGGTCTGTCTGTACTAGAGAATTTTAGGATTGTGACACCATAACATACCACATGTCTGCATACCAAATGTTACCCATGGTGCACGGGCATTCAAACCACACTGGCACTGCACTTGCTCTCCCAAGCATGGTGGAAGGTTGAGAGTGCTAATGTCTGTCGGATATCACTTCTGACCACTCCATGAATAAACTCTTACATTACAACATCCTGTAAAGTGCGTTAATATTATTCCCTGCACTTTACAGATGGGGAAACAGAGGGACTAATTACCTGTTTTCAGAGGTGCTGAGCGCACAGAGCTCCCACTGACATCTTCACCTTTGAAAAATAAGTTACTTCTCCAGGATTACATAGGGAGTCAGTGGTTGAGCTAGGAATAGGTCTCAGGTTCCCTGACTCTTAATTTTGCGCTTTGACCTTTTCCTTTGAAGTATGGCAAATCTCTCAACAGCATCTGTTCTTAGACTTTAGCATGAGCCCTAGACCAAAGCATCTTTTGGATGCTTCTCTGATCTGTTTGGAGCTTGATTATTGCTAGGATACACACCTGATATGTGTTAGCTTGGCAATGGCCCTCTTCATTTCAGTCACTTGAAATGGGCACTAATTTTAAAAAATCATTATTCAGGCTTGTCTTATGGTCTAACTGTTCTGCTTGCCAGAAGATCTTAACAAGATTGACAGTGTACGTTGAATATTGACTGCTCGTCCTTTTTTTAACAACAAGATAATGAACTGGGTTTCAAGAAAATAGGTTGTTTCTCTGTGTGACGGACAAATAATCCATCTGGACAGTGCAGTGTCTGGCAGTGCGGTGTTTAGATGATTAATAGAATTTTCTAATATTTACACTTCCACGTCAGGGCTGTGTCTGAGAGGAGATTCAGCTCAGGCCACAGCAACAAGATCAGCAATTTAAATGTGAATCTCTGGGTAGATTTCTGCTATTGTGGTCTACTCGTTTCCCTGGAAGTCCTCCCTATTTGGGTTGGACTCTGCAAGATTCCCCAGTTTGTTCCTTGCTTTAACTAACTATTCCTCCAGCCAGCCCCTTGTATCCCCACCTCACGGCCAGCAACCTTCTGGCTGTGACATACTGGTTAGAGCTCTCTTTAGTGTCTGGTAATGCTGCTCCTTAGACAGATCAATTGAGTCACTCTTCACCCGTTCAACGGATACCCTCTCCTACTGGCCTGCGGAGTTAGACCCTTGAGCCTGCACATATCCCCATTTAATCTGCCGGGGCTCCATGCAGATTTCTGTCCACAAGTAACAGTTTATAGGATTGGGCCTTATGTCATGGTTGAATCCCTGAGTAGCGGTTATCTCAAATGCAGACACGTACGTAGAACATAATC